TGTTTGTTGTCCAGGCTATAGATCGTGCAGTTAGCCAACCACATCAGACAGCCATAGTAACAGCAGGGATCATGGCTGCATCAATCCTTGTCAGGCTTTCTTTGGCTGACATTAAAGCTGGTAAGATGAAAATCAACTATGTTTACTCAGAAGAGAAGTAGACTAACTAGAGTAGACTAACTAATGTTTATTTTGGTGCTTGTTAACAGAGTCTAAGCTTGGTTCATTCTGGACTTCTTTTCTTGATAGCAAGAAAACTGTGTTTGTTGCTGAAAAGTATCTTATGTCTGCCTCACCAGAGGGTAATATTAGGTTGTTATATTTTGTTTTAAGATGTGATTATTTTGATTTTAATATTCCTATTTATTTCTACAGCTCTACAGGCCTTGCTATGTACAATTGAAACTTTATTCATCAATCACTCTCATCGTTTGAACACAACCAATAGCCAGTAAGCTTTTATGAATTGTAGATTACTTGTAAATTATACTCTGTGCACACAAAAGGTAAACTTACTTGTAACAAGGAAAGTAGGAAATCAGAACAGATAAATGTATGCTACCATTGCAATGAAATTGACTTATACAGTATTAAAATAACTATACATGAAGGGTACAAAAGTTGGAAATGACACCAGATACACATGCTACGAATACACTGGTTGATGTTACAAAAAGTACTAAAAAAATACATGTATAATATGTACAAAAAAATTACATGAGATTTGTATATGCTGCAAATGGTAAGCAGGAAGTCTCACATGTCTTCACATGTACATTCACACTTGTCTTATTATTGTTTTAGGCCATGGTATCATGCAATCCTGTTCTTGTTAACAACCAAAAACCACAAGCTATATCAAGAAACCAAGGTGTTTCTACACAAACTATGTGTGTCTTCTGGTCAAGGGTCTTTTGCTCACCAGTCAGCKCTTTTCTCAGAATTTTCATCCCTTCTGCTACAACAACAGGTATTYATCCATTGAARCTGTGCACTTTTTTCAGCATAATTGTCATTACGGAAATGCTCTGATATGGAAAGAAGTAATAGACTTTCAATGGACAATGTCTGGTTAAAATTTCAACTTATTAAACTACTTTAGTTTTAATGGCCAGTTTTTAAAGATGTTTTGGCCAGTCACTCTTTATCTTTTTTGGATTCACTGACATTCAATCACTTGCTCTGATGTTGCATTTTCTTGTGAAATAATTTTTTATTTGAAGTTCTCCCTTTGTCATCATTACTATATGAATATTCAATTGGTTGGTCACAGGATCATAATTTTCAGGCCATAGTATACCAAAATATTGTGTCATAATTAATGTATATTTTAGGCAATGATAAAGACCAAAGCAGCAATGAATGGTGATGTTAAYGGCATCGATGATTCAAGTAATGCATGTATTTCTGCCAARATCATGTGCAATGTTCTCCARACACTTGCATTGATGYCTTATAAAAGTGATGGCAGCCTTGACGAATCCAGTCGCGAAAGCATTGCACTCGCAATTWTGCCTTACTGTCACCAYCCACTTTTAGGTGCGTATTGCATATTTTAAATGTTCTTAATATTTGGTATCAATGAAGGCTTGAGATTTAAAAAATATACATTGATTTCAGTGTCATACAAGAAAGATTTCTGGGTAGAAATAGTGTCAAAATTGAAATTGGACACACAATCGTTTGTACAGACGTATGAMAGTCARATTATGGACATGATAGTTAACAAACAAGCAAACAATGAGGTAAGAATCTCATGTCTGGTATTATGGTCTCCATAACTTATGATGATCAAACATTTGATTCCGCCCTCCTAAAATATTTTTCTGCCAGTACCACTTTCTTTACCATATTAGATTGTTACATTTTCTGCTGGCTGTGGAAATTTTGAAATGGAAAATAKTTTCTCTTATGGCACTGGGTCTGTGCCTGATTGTCCTAATACTTCATTTTTTGAATTTCCGAAAACAAAAGAAAGCACAAGAATATGTCGTCATTACAAATAGTCTTGAAAATTTGCATTTTTCCTGAGTTGAGACAAACCCTGTATTCCCATAAGACCTAAGGTTTAAGCCTTCTTGGAATACAGGGTTAGCCTCATCTTAAGGAAAATGTAAATTTTTAGTGCTATTGTATTTACAACATTTTCTTGTATTTTCTTTTGTGTTTGGTTAGGTATTTGCTCAAGAGAATCTGCTGTCAAATAAAACAGTGTTTTTTTTACCTTGAATTCGAAAATGGAGTATTAGTCTTGGGATAACAAAATAACGAAGYTAACTCTTTGTATTTCTTTCAAGATTCCTCAGAACATTGTATCAACTTTAGCCATTGTTTCACCATYGTCACTACCCAACATCATAACACATTTGATGACAAGTTTRGGTGAYGATAGGTTTGTTCAAGTGACGATGGATGATGTTGGTGTCATGGAAACCCCTGAAGGTCAGATCTATAACAAGAAAGTCTTAGAAAGGTGTGGAGTTGCATAATGTTTTTACTACTTTAATTTTTTTTTTTATTTCGAGCAAAAATCCCCCTTAGACCAAACTTTCATGCATACTAAAATAGAGCCTGTGTACATCCATTACACCCCTCCCCCTACGGGGAAAAAAAAGAGGAGGTAATTTCCCCATAGGGGGGAGAGTTGAAATGGATATACACAGGCTAACTAAAAATACACCCTGCTGTTTTTCAGCTTGAAGCAGTCAGAAAAGACAAAATTTCAAAATGTGAAGAAAGAATCCAAGGCATATTCCTACGAAGACCAGAAGTGGGTCATGGAATTTGAAAAGGTAAAAATTGAAGCACAAAAAATGAAAAAAACTGTTCATAGGAAGGAATTTCTGAAGAATCTGTCTGTTCTCAGGAACGACTGGAGAAAAAGAAAGCATCTGGTCTTCTGTCTTTTAGAGAYGAATTGAGTGAGAAAGATAAAGAAGTATATGATAATCAACTGATTGCTGAGGCTGAAATCAGAAAGAAAACCCAGCAGGTTTGTTGTTTACCTGTGGACTTTCTGTTAGTAACTTATCAATGATAGATAGATGGCTGTGCACTCACTGAAAGATAACAATAGATAGCAATTCTAGAATGAAGCAAAAATGTAGAAAGGTTTATACTTGACTAAAACATCTCTAATTTTATTTTTTAAATAACATTGATGGTAGGCTACTTTAATTTTTTTTCTTGGAATCATAATGAAGTAATGAAAATATAATGAATATTATTATCTATGTATGAATAATGCAGAAAGGAATAAGTAAGAAGAATGAAATATTTTTAAGAAGTAAGAAGCATTTACAATTTTTTATTCATTTATTTTAACATTAAAATGTGTTTTGCAAAATTCATGGACTCCAAAGTGACTGACTGTTGTGCAAGGTATAATGTACAGTTGCATTGCTTTAATGAATTTTATCAGATATTTGAATATTAATTGACATGTTCTAAATGTAGCATTTTTATAATACAAAGACAAGTGTTTTAAAAACAGTACCTGTCCACTATAATGCCTGTTAGTTRATATGATGTCGCTATCAGGTTTCGCTTGTGGACTAAACAAGGTGATGTCTGTCATCCTTATCAGCAGTGTTTTTGGTTGCTGTGCTGGTGTTAGGCAGGCATCCTACATATACTGAAATTATAATATTAACATTTAATCATATAATTATCTATGAAATAACATATGAAATAACACATTTGAGGTTTGTCTATATAGTGGAAGTAAGAAAAATGGTATTTTATGACATAATTTGCTTTCATATACAATTGTATGATAAATAGAATATTACATGTTTGCTTGGAGATATGAATTTTATCTTCCTGTGTTGAAAATCTTCTCTCTCGTTCACTACGCTCATTGGTGAGAGATCTTTTTAACACTCGAAGATAAAATCTGTATCTCTGCGTGCCCATGTAATATCCTTTATGCATGTACTAGGTATCCTAACATCTACATTGACTAATACTAATACTCCTGCATATAAAAACCTGTCACTGACAGGCAGAAATTTTCACATTACGCATTCTTCACTATAAAGTCACTCAAATAGTTAGTATAGTACCTAAAATAGTTAGTACCTAAAAGTTTTCATTTACTAGAAGTACTTTTTTTCTTACCAACTGAGATTTAAAAACCTATTGTTGGTTTTGAATCATTCCCATGAGATTCAAGCAACAAAAGACCGGCGGCCATGTTGGAGGTTTGAACAATAGATACTAATGAGAAATCCTTTGCTGAAGTACCTCCAAGATGGCCGCTGTGACTTAACCTGAAAACCATAACTTGTCCAGGCTGTCTTGAAAAATCTAGGTTCTTATATGTGGCGTCTGACTGTACTATCATTGTATTTTTCAGATAAAGGGAGAGCTGTCCAATCTGGTGGTGTTATTGCTCAAAGCRACAGAGTCTAACCAGACAGCCATGGGAAAGTTCATTCCATCAATGCTRCCAGTTCTTTTATCTTTACTCAAATCACCTCTAGCTGCTCCTCTGGTTGTTCCTGTMATTCTTGCCTTGAGGAAGTGTGCCTTTGAAGAGAAGAAAAACAGTTTTGGTATGCTTTATGTTCAGCTATAATAGAATGTTTTTTATCAATCACTGGTGAAATTGTTGTCTATTAGGTCGAAGTTTGAATCTTGGTGAAAGGTTGCAGTTTAGAAATAACTTGTATTGAACGTTTAACTTTTCTGAATGCAAATTKGCTTATAGTCACTTAAAATGGCGCAGTTCTTCTTATAAGAGTCTTCAAAATGAAAAATATCGWAAAGAAATATCCAATGACATTGTTTTAGGCCCCGTTGAAATTAGACCACAAGTCAGCATAAGTTTTCTTGTTCAAATACTCAGTTCAAAGTCTTAGGGAGGCAAACTTGGAAAAGGCTGCAACTGCTCCTGGGGTGATGTTGCTCATTGCTGCTCCCCGTCGGGTGCCTCATACCACGATTCCATACTGATCACGATGTTCTGAAGTTTAATCAGCAATGGCATTTGCTTCTCACTATTGTAACAGCATAGTTAATCGATTAACTATGGAAACTGAAATCACATTGAAAGTTTTATCTGTTTTCCAGGAATGGTTGTCACACAAGCGACATTACGTCTTTTACAGCCACAATGTAAACTTGATGGCAARTGGTGTCAAGAAGATCTCCAGTCAGCAGTGACGCGGGCTGTGGATGGCTTGCATTCTTTAACCGCACCCACTGACGATAGTGGGGCACACCCTCTCTCTGCCCCTAGTTTTGCCTACTGCTTCCCTCTKCTGAACTCTGTTCTGAGAGCTGGTGGTGCTGCAGTCAAGAAGAATGATGACCTGAGGCTTAAAGYTCTACAGATTGTGTCTCATCATTGTCAGTTAAGAAGTCAATCGGATGATGAAGARTCTGATGAGGTATTTGACGTATTCAAAACTTAGCCTGCCATAAAACCGTATGTAACGTAGTCTATCTAAGTGACAGCAAACTTGGTTTGGTTTAGTGTTTAGATCGACTTTCTAACTTTGGTTTCAACAGCTTTTTTGGATACTTTTTTTGAAAACAGTAAAGGAACTTAGAGCAAGTCTAGCCATTTGCTTGTGTCCCAATCAAAGCCTTGACCGTGTAATTTTGGATTTTGAAGTATGGTTTCGGTTATGTGCGGGCTTTGGAGAGCTTCCCTGCGTAAGAGTGATTGACTATTGCACAAGGGCTTTCAAAAGCAAGGTTTCATTACATAAGTCACTGCAGTAAATAATTGAACAACCAAAAAATTGAATGGTAGATAAAAAAATTAAATAAGGTCCACCTTTAATGAGCCAATAAATGAAATTTATAAAATTTGTGTGAAGTTAAATCCTGATGAGTGCTATTTATTGACAGAGTGGTCCAGAATTGCTCCCGAGAACTGCAATGTTTACACTTCTTACAGAGATCATTTCAACAAGCTCTGATAGTATCAAAGGATCAAGACTCCAGGTTAGATRGTTTTACAAGTCTTGTCTCTTTTGAATTATGATAGAGTGATGGTTGAAGAGCTGCTGTTATTGCCGCTGGACATGCCATTCCCATTTGGAAGAAGCTAGTGGACACATGTAGTTATAAATGCAATACAAACATGACGTGTTGTTGCTGTTGTCGTCGTCGTCGTCGTCGTTGTTGTTGTTGTTTTTGTTGTTGTTGTTGATGTTGTTGTTGTTGTTGTTGAAACTATACCATAAATGGACCAATCTTTATCTATGAAATTAGTTTTAAAAGCTTTTAAGCTTTAATTTATTAAAATAAGTATTCTAATAAGTTTTTCATTCAACAGCAACTGGCCTCGTTATGTCTTGTGGAACTCTGCAAGTCAATAAGCGGAGAAGAAGGTTGTTCTGTGGCTGAACAAGAAGAACTTGAAGTTCTTTTGAAAGGCCTGGAGTCGCCATCTACAGTTTTAAGATTTTCTGTCTTAAAAGGTCTTACAAACATGACATTTGTATT